TTTGACTAAACTTTAGAAAGCTTTCTTCCAGGGTGCCTGGGTGGCTTAGTCGGTTAAGTGTCCGACTTTCGCTTAGGTCATGATCTCGCGGTTCATGGGTTCGAGCCCCGCGTCGGGCTCTGTGCTAACTGCCAGCTCAGAGCCTGGAGCCTGTTTCAGTCTGTGACTCCCTCTCTCTCTGACCCTCCCCTGCTCACGCTGTCTCTCTCTCTCTCCTAGAAATAAATAAAACATTTAAAAAAAAAAAAAAAAAGAAAGCTTTCTTCCTTAGTACAAGCCCCCGATCTCCCATTTCATAGAGCTTTTTCTTTAGAAAACTTGCTTGTAAATTCTTTTTTTGTCCCTTAGCTATGTAAATCTTCTACACCCTAGTAATGTTTTACTCAAGGAATTAGGAGCTATCCCTTTGATATATCATCATAAAGATACAGTACATTTCTCGTAGTCTTTGTGGGATGACAGGAGCTTCACATCAATAAACTGTAGTAAGTGTCAATTAACAAACACAGATGGCCTAATCACTCACTAACCCCTACATGGAGGACTAATGTCCTCTGGTACTTTGCCACTAGCTTGCCCTATGCTTAAGAACTCTTTTGACTTTTTTTCCAGAAAAGTTGACTTCAGTATCTATTCCATACTGCGATAGTCTAGGCCTCTACTGCAAGAGTCAAAGATAAAGTCTTTCTTGCCTGTTTAGTTCAGAGTGTATGACACATGTATATGTGTGTGCAGATACGTGTGTGCAGAGACACAGACAGACAGACAATGAAAGAGGGCCTCCTCAGGGACCTAAGTCAAGACTTCCCTTGCCACACTCCTTAAAAGTAGTACTATCTTTAATCCTTCTTATATGTTGAAATTTTTCATAAAATTGTATTTAAACAAATGCCATTACAGTTTTAAAAACACTTACTTTTGGACAATTATTTCATTTGTCAGATAAGATAACAGAAGTGTTAAGAGGGTAAGAGATTCATCAGAAAACCCAAGATCCCAGGGTGAACAGTGGCTCTGGAGCCCTGGGATACTCCTCCAGTGTTCTCTAGATGCCACATTTGTATCATCAAAGAAGACAATGTGTACTAGGCAATGTAAGAAAAACATGATGGAATGGTTAACCTACTTTAAAGGACAAACCATCTTCAAGACCCTTAGGAACATTCATTTGCATGCAACCAATTCACATGCAAATTAGGAATAATCTTTATTCAGGGCCTCTGTTTGGGAACATTTATTAGCCATTAGTTATGTTACTTTATTTACTTGAATGCATATTTTCCTAAATGCTGCATAACCATGTAGAGGATTATAAATCTAACATTGAGAAATGTACAACAAAGACATAAATAAAAGCCAGGAGCACCAGCACCAAGAGTGACTTTATCTAGTTTACTTATATTAACATGAATAATTCCTTCGTATTTTTAGTCAAAAGGTGACTTAGGGCAGATCATCACACAGTTATGAATTTGGCTGAGATGCTTAGCCTTGCAGAGTCTCACTTCATCATCTGTAAAATAGAAGGTAATGATCTCTAACTTTGTACTGCTTTTATGAAGATGAGGAAAATATATTTAAAGTGCTGAGACAGTACCATCTAAGACCCTAATAGTCTTAGTCTCCAACATGGTGGTGTTACAATCTAACATCAAAATAAGCAGCAGCATTGCTCCTTGGCATTTTCTTCAGCCTTTATAATGGATCCCTTAAAAAATCCACCTAAATGCACACAATGACTGTGACACTAGTCCCAGCTACATACTGAAAAAAGTCAACTTAAAGGTGCAAGCATGGTGCCCTAATTCGATGTTAAGTTTAATTAAACCAAATAAAATCCAATTAGTACAGATTTTTTTCAGAGGTTCTTAATAGTACTAATGTGAAACAAACTGGCAATGGCCAATTAATTGGTTTTGTCATTCTAATTAATATAGGTATGGCCTATACTTCTTGATCCTTTTTAGTATTGTCTCTTTATTAGACTCAATTATTTGATGGGAGAAAAAAACCAAAAATAACAAAAAATTGTAGTGTTCGTAAGGAACAGAAGCATCAAGTCAAATAATGTTACCACTGTGTTCTCATATAAAAGATCATTTCCTTCTCCAATCCTTCAGTGTCTCTAGAAGTCAAATTAATGGATTATGGAAGAAAGGAAATGGTCAGTTTAGGGTGATATTTTTGTCAAAAACTGACCTGGAAGGCCTTATGAAAATAAGATGACCTGGATTACCTTCACATTTATTCTGTTTAAACATTCATTTAAATGAATGGGCAGGGGGGGAATCTGTAAATTCAATCAAGAAGAAATACTGTCATGCTGATGGAGACAAGTTCAATACGAAGGATTTATCTACTTAGACAAATGAAATCAGAGTCAGTAGATCCATCTGAAATGTTCTGATGCCTCTGCAGAAATACAAAAAGGTTCAGACAAATGCAATTTTCTTTCAGTCAAATTTGGTGCAGTTGTCTAGAGGCTGATCATTAAGGGTAGACTTTAACAGATCAGTTCCATAGATTTCGTAAGACTGAAGAATAGGATTCTCAGATAAAATACAGGTTTCCCAGTTAAGACTGAATTTTAGTTAAAAAACAAGTAAGTTTCACTATGTCTCAAATATTGCATATACATAAAATGTGTGTATGTGTATACATAAAATGTGTATATATGTATGTGTTTGTATATAACACCAAGATGATATTTTTTATAAGTCTGTCTATTTATTTTGAGAGAAAGCACAAGCAGGGTAAAATCTGAGAGAAGGAGAGACAAAATCCCAAGCAGGCTTTGCCCCGTTAATGCAGAGCTCCATGAGGGGCTTGAACTCTTGAGCTGTCATGACCTGAGAAAAAGATCAAGAGTCAAATATCTAAGTGACTGCATCACCCAGGTTCCCTGCAAGGATGTTATTACAACACTCCAGAAATGATGTTCTATAGTTTTGCAAAGTATCCAGGTCACAATCCAAATCATCTTACTCCAACTTCAGCATTAAATTTTTTCTGACCACTCAAAAGTTCTGAAGCTGGTCTGAGTTTGTTCAAGGACATGTTTATTTTTCCCTCATTATTCTTACTCAAGTCCAACCAAAACTAAAAGGTAATACACCATGCCACCACACTCAAAGCCCTCTACTATGTCCTGAGGTATCTTGACCTCAAGATGTCTGCCTATCACCTAAAAGAAGCTAAGTCCCTGGACTGATACCATCTTCTGGGTCTTAATCTGGCAATTATTACTATGATTTTATTTACTATTATTATTTATACAAACACAAATGGCTTGTATTCTTTTAATATTTTTAATTAGTATGTTCTAGCTTTTTAAAATTTATTTCAACTGGAAGTTTTGTTCAAATTACTTCATTTTCCATTATCAGAGACAATATCAAGTCCTTGACTATTGACAGTTATTTTTTTTAAATGTAGTTTATCTACATATGACAAAATCTATTTTATTGTGTTGGAAAAAGATGCTTTCTTCCTACTGAAATATGTCTAGCTCTCATTGGCCATATTCTATAACTGAATAAACTTAGAATAGTTGTGTTTTTTAACCTTCAATTATGTAGTAGAAGATAAAAGAACTGATAAGATCTTTGAAAAGCAAATGAAAGTATATATCCTAATTAACTTGAAAGCCCCTAATGAAGGGAACAGACCCTAATGGAGGGATTCAACAACTCACTTTTTAAAACAACTTTAGTGTTCTCATTTAATCCATATAAAGTAATTTCTATCTAATATAACATAAACCAAAGTGAAAGAGGAGACAAACCAGAGTTGATTATGAACTGCACTGAGGAAGAAAAAAATTCCTTGCATACCAGGGTAACCAGAAAAAGGGGGAAAAAGCTGGAAAAAAACATACCTTTCCACTAGCTCTACTGGGTGTGAATGGCCTAAAAATGATTAAAATATATGTTTTTATATAAAAATAGTACTTGGCTGGAAATAAGAAGCTATCATTTTGTCCCAGCTCAGCTACTGGTTTTATGAACACATTCTACCTCTTACTCCACGTCTCAATAGCCTCATTTGTAAAATAAGCAGTTTGGACAACATACTCTACAAAACTCATTTCAACTTCAAGATTTTATAATGACATATTTCAAAGTTACACTTTCTTTTTTTTTTTTTAAAGTTTTTTTTTTTTAATGTTTTATTTATTTCTAGGAGAGAGAGAGAGAGAGAGACAGCGTGAGCAGGGGAGGGTCAGAGAGAGAGGGAGTCACAGACTGAAACAGGCTCCAGGCTCTGAGCTGACAGTCAGCACAGAGCCTGACGCGGGGCCCGAACCCACGAACCACGAGATCATGACCCAAGCAAAAGTCGGACGCTTAACCGACTAAGCCACCCAGGTGCCCCAAAGTTACACTTTCAAGTTTTTGGTAATTCCTTGAGGGAAAATTACACACATACACACACACACAAACGCATGAATAAAGGAAGAAGTTAGTAGTTTTCATTTACAAAAAATACCTCTTGTAAAGTGAACAAAAGCAGAAACAACATAACTCCCGAAGATAAAAAAGCTCACTCCTAAAATAGGTCAAACTCGATCCACATTCTTAAACTAATGAAAAGTATTGTTCGCACAACTTACAAAAAATATTCATTACAGTTCAAATCTAATTTCTGTTCTCTAAGCAGCTATAATAGAATCAGTGAATATTTCCATAATATCTTTTATGCTCATGTCAGTGAGATAACAGTTTCATACTCAAAGATTTCTAATTGATTTGACCATAAAATAAGCCTTTTGTTCAAAGAAGGGCAAAAAATAAAAGATAAGAAAGATGGCAATTTAACTTTCAAATGTATACTGCATACAGATATCCTGGAACCATTAAAAACACAAACACAAAAAAGGAAAAAGCATGGGCAATAAAATCATGAAATCGGTCAAAGAACGATTTAGTCACAATAACCACACAAGGACACAGGCTTATATTTAGTAGAGCTATTTTTAAAACGGAAGCTGGACTTCTTCTGTCTCAGATGAAAACATCAGATGCTGTATATGAGTTACTCTATAAACAGAAATATTAGGAGAATTATCCAGTAGCATCACGAAAATAAGTAACATCTAGTTTTGTTAGTAAGTCTTAAACATAATCTCTGGTCTGAATCCTATCTCTAAGTATTGTGTTCTTTTCTTCTTTTCATGTTGAGATTAAATCTAATCATTGGAAAGTATTTATCCCTGTATTTACATTTCTTCATCTCATTCCTTCATTTGAAAAATGTTGACTATAACATCTATCTGATGAGTTTATTATGCATACTAAAAGCTATAAAATAATGATTATTTATGTTGAGTAGAAACATATAAGCATTTAAAACATTGGACGCCCTCACCACCAGAGTGATCTGTCAAGTGTTGGAAAAAAAATACACAAGTCAATTAGCAAGCCACAAATGGTGTTCTTGAGCCAGAGTGTGTTTAGCTGTGTATTTTGAAAACAAACAAAATATCTATATCTAGTTATTTGCCTTTTAATCTATATCAAGTAAATCAGTAAGCACAATCTTTGAAAATGTTTCCTACATCTTTGACTAGTTCCTTTCTGATTCTTTCTCTGATTGCTTTTCCTTTTTCACATTCCTTCTCTAGATGTTGCTCCTCTTCAGTGTTTCCCCATGTATCATCTACATCTTAAAGGTATCATTATCTTAAGGCCTCATCTAATCACAGTTTCAACTGTTGTCACCAAGTGGATAAACCCCAAAATGGCATCTCCCTTCCTGCCCTCTGACTCTAGACCTAGTTATACTACAGAGGGGCTCTCTCTGGACAGTCTCCTCTCATATCCTCAAAAAAGAGTGCCTCAAATAAACTGCTCTTTCTCCTCCTGACAAATACTCTCTTTCTCAAATATTCTAGTTCTTCTGCCAAAGGAACCTCAAACTTCCAGTAAGCCTTTGTGGACATCTTTTACTTCATCTCATACTTTCACTTTTCCTTCACATTTTAAGTCCCATCTCTCTGCAAGTCATTCTGGATGTGCCTCTGTGGAACTGAACCTTTTCTTGACTCCACAAATCTAATCTAAGATTCCAAAGATTCCTAAGTTATTTCAAAAGCCAACCAGATCATCATTCATAATACAAGGCAGATTAATACATTCTTGAAAACTCTACTGTAGGTTATAAACGTGAGTAAACGGAAAGGGGTAGGCAAAGAGGTTCTTAGTAACTTTGTTTTCTTAGGTGAGGGCAGGTGAAATGGCAAACAGAGGAAGCTCAGTACGTAAGGAGGCAGTTAGCATACAGACTTGCATCTGCAGTTACTGATATTCAAAGTTAAACTTGGCCAAGTGATATGATGGGGAAAACAGGAGTTTCTTAAGTAACTCGCTTGTGGTTCTGAATCTGTTGCTTGTGATTTCTATGCTTAGATAACAAATGTAAGCTAGAAAACACAAACGTGTGATTCCCCAATGTTAGCTTTCCAAATGCTAGGTTCCCCTCCCCCCCCATCTTTAATGTTCTGTGCTCTGTTCCTTCACACCATGCTGACTTGAAACAATGGTTTTTGTTTTTATTTTTGTTTTTGTTTTTTATCAGATGTCACTTTTGCTCAGAGGCAAAGGACAATTTCCTATTTTAATTTCAGGCATGTCTGACTTCCTCTGCTGACTTTCCAGGCCTTCTATTACCTAACTTCGTCAATTTTATCCAATAGTTTTTTGCTAGTTCTTTTGACAAACTAGCTTTGTACCAGTCAGGCAACCACATTACCCTCTAAATATAATTCACTTCTTCTAACCCTGACAATATTCATGTCTTTCTCTGATGCTGGAAAACTCAATTCTAGGTCAATAAGTCTGCGAATGTTCTTCAAGGTATGGCAAGAATTCCACTAACTTCTGAGACTGCATCTACCTTCTCCAGACCACTATCCCACTTCCCAGTTCACTAGAGTACTTAGAAACAAACATTGAGTGGATAACATAATGATTAGTTAAAAGTAGAAAATCTATTTAAACATTTTGGTCTACATGGAACAAAATGGCCTCTAACTGCTTCACTTTGGTGATATTTCTACTAAATGAACTAAAACAACTGGCAAACGAAATATCCTATGGCCACAGTAATAACTTGCCTTTGGTTTATCTAATTCTGACAATGTTTCCAAGGTTCATTAAACCCAACATATTTTCCAGCACAATTTGTAATGGCACAACTTCTTTTGTGCCATATCAGTGGCATATTCTTCTTGCATGTGCACAGATAAAAATAGCTGTGTCAGACACAACAACTGTCAAATTTGACGCCTGGGGCATCGTTTTTGGTAAAGACAGCTGTGGATGCTAAATTGAGGTTTCCTATGTACTCGGTACTCCCACCTCTTTCAAGAAAGCTGCCTATCCATAGGCTTTATATTTTTGTGTTGTGCATCTGTATTTGGATGCTGAGAAGACAAATACTGCACTAACGTCATGGTATGGAGAAAGGAAAGACACCTGTCAAATGTAGAACCCTGAGCAACATTAGAAGAGAAAGTACTCTGCTCTTACTGACAAGGCCCTTTGGAAACCCAGGGAAGTACTGGGTCTCTTCAGCATATCATTTGTTACATTCCATTTAAAAGTTTCTGCAAAGGATCTTGTGAATTCCACTCTCAAACCACCACAATTTGAAGGCATTGCACTCCCTCTTCCATCCCTCTTTGATCAGTATACATGAGGGGCCAGCACATTTTTCTGTAAAGGGCTAAGGAGTAAATATTTTAGGCTTTGCAGGCCGTACCTCTCTGTACAGTTGGTCTTCTATGTCATTGTAGTGAAAACAGGCACAGATGATATGTGAACCAATTGGCCTGGATCTGTTCCAATAAAACACTGTTAATTACATAAAATTTTAAATTTTATATAGGTTTCACATGTCACAAAATATTCTTTTATTTTTTACAATTGTTAAAAAATGTAGACAACATTCTTTAACTCCCAGACAATATATTTTTATAAAAAGGCAGTGGACAGGTTTGGCACGTAGGCTGTCATGTGCTGACCCTTGGTCTACACAAATATGGCTTCTCTGTTTATCACCCATTAAAACAAGAAATAGATGTACCTTGTGAAGCAGACTATCATCTCCAAATACTGAGATATTTGAGCATCCCAAGACCTTCCCGTTGTCTTTACCAGTAAATGAGATCTCTAAAAGAGAGCCACCAATGAATATGTTTTTCAAAGGGCAGAAGGAGAGTCATCAGATTCCAAAATGAAAGTGACCTGCTATCCCTCTTGAAGCAAAATTCAGCCATGGTCTTGCTTGCCTAGATATCATAGGTTAAAAAGACAATGGAGTCACCAGCAGTTAGGGTACTTCTAATTTCTGCACTTTCAAGAATCTATTTTCAGAAATCAAGTGCTACTGAAAACAAAAGTGTAAAACTTAGTACGTTTCTGAAATTTTAGTGTGGCTGAACATTAAACCCCTGTGGTGTTAACCAGTTATATCTGACACAGCCTGACACTATGTTGAATTTCATTCTCAAGACTGCCAGTGCTACTCGATCAAGGGAATTGGGTCTTGAGTGCTTTAACTTAGGAGTCATTTATAAACATCTAGAATATTATGCTTTAAGATAGTGTTTAAACTGTTTAAAGGTGCTCACTGAACAGGACCTGACCTTTTCAAGTTCTTAAAGGGGATGATGATTAGGAGGATGAGTTGTAGAACCAAGTTAGTGAGCGTACACAATTGTCTTCAGATATAAGACAACCACTGAACAGTTGTTTTTCTTATTTTGTTTACATCTGTTTTGGGGGGAAGGACTCTCTTTTTATTTTGTTCTTATGTTTGTTTTGTTTTATGGTGTGTCAGTAAACAATAATATAATAAAGTTATCTCTTTGTAAATTGGCTTCAGGTGAATAAAATCATACCCTGAATTCCAGAAATGTAAAATTACATAAGCAGGTTAATCTGGGCAGACTAAAGTAATACTGGCTGGACAGTGTTTACCAGATCCCTACAGCAGTCCTTTCAACTTACTGTTCCGCTTCGTACAACACTGCAGCATAGCAGGACATTGCTACTGTTTTGAAACTGGAGTTTATCTATCTCAGTATCAGAAACCTTGAGTTTCCCTGGGATATGTGACAACAGCAATATACCTACCACCCTGGAGCTTTAATTCTATTCAAAGTCTGATGAGACTTACTATTTGCATATTTAAATAGTATACATAGATTGTAGTACTTATAGTATTATATAAATACATTACAGAATTCAAGTTCTCAGAGATTTTGAAAACTAAATGAAAAATTTTAAGGGGTATTTGTCTCAGGGGCATCTGGGTGGCTCAGTCAATTGAGTGTCCAACTCTTGATCTCAGCTCAGGTCATGATCTCACAGTTTGTGGGTTCAAGCCCCACATCAGGGTCTGCAGTGATAGCATGGAGCCTGTTTGGGATTCCGTCTCTCACTCTCTCTACTCTTTCCCAGTTTGCTCTCTCTCTCTCTCTCTGTCTCTCTCAAAATAAATAATAAACTTTAAAAAATTCATCTCATAAATGGTCAATTTATCTACCTTCTTATTAAACCAAGAAAATAATATGATTCTCCACTGCCACCAGTCATTTTTGGTAGGAAAGTTCAGGAAGCATTTTTCTAGATTCCTGATGCCTTGAGTCAAGCTGAAGGAAAAGGGAGGAAGCAAGACTCACCCTCCGGTTCTCCTATTATTAAAATATATCAAATGTTAGTATATTTAAATAGACTCACCAACTTGAAAAGTACACACTATTTTTTTAAACTAAGGTATTACTGTTCAAAAGCCATGGTGTCTACAAGTCTGGTGAGTCAAATTCTCCCTCCAAGTTGTTATATGACATAAGTCACTTGTCTCCTCTGTTCTCCCTGGAGCTTTGGGAAAGGCACCTCTAACTTCCTTCTTTATATGACAGGGTTTTAACAAAAGTTTGAAATCATATGAAAGCAAACTGAAAAGCAGAGAGCAATGATCAACAAATATTTAGAAGAAAAAACTCATTCCTAGACATATAAAGTCAAACAAAAGTGATGTTAAGAGACTAGAGAGTATAATATGTTCTGTACTTCCACACCCCATGCCATTTCTTCTTTACAGTTATGGGAGAAACTGAGATAATGACTTGTTCTTTTTTAATTATGGAAACAACTGAAATGTTTCATTTTGTTAGGGTGAAAGGTTTCTCAATTACTAAAATTATTTGAAAACACAAAAATGATACTGGCTTTTACCCTACTTAAATTTTTCGTCTTTCTCCTATTTTTGTTTTGTTTTGTTTAACAACAGTGCAGAATGACAGCTGTGTGAACAGGAGAAAGAGAACTAGGAAAATATGATAACAGTCACAACTGGCTTCCTAGATTTATTTCCAGTTGATTTTACATCTGGTCCAACTGTGTTGTTTGTTGATATTCTGTTGGCAACAGACACGAGCAGTATGTGTCTCTTGCTTTTATTAACATTTTCATATCTAGACAAGAGAATTTGGTGGAAAATTGTAGCAACCAACTGAGTGATCTTTGCATTCTGTTCTCAAACTTGGCATCTTTTCACCTCTATATTCAAAAGGCTAATCAGTCTAGTCAGTTCTGGGCATTTGTATCTCTAGACTGTCTCTCTTCTAGTTCAAAGGATCATCATCAAACACTTCCTGATTACAACACTAGCCTCCTGACTTCTTTCTTGGGTGGACAGATAACCCTGTTGTAATGGCACTATACATAAGATTTTCAAATTAAAACCTGATTGAATTGAAGCTAATTCTTCAATTATATCACCTGCCTGCAAAATAAACTCCCAATGTATTAACAAGACGTGAAAGATTTTTAATGTTGGTTATCAATCTTAGTTACATTTCTAAGCTCTAATTGTTTGCCACTTGCCCATATATTTCAGTAGTGTTGAACTTCTGGACATTCTTTAAACTTTCATATGCTGTCATAATACTAACCCTTCATCCATGCCTTGGACTATGTGTAGGATTCCCTGTCTAACTATTATTTAACCTTCTAGAACCAGCTCAATATCAACTTCTCTGTCAGGTCTTTATGGACACTCCTAGCTGTAACAACAAAATAAACCCTTCTGATGATACAGTGAATTAATTCTCCCCTAGGAATGGCTCACAACTCTGAATGATTTTTATAATGATGCATTTAGCAAGAGGGAAAAATAAACAGCATAAACAACACTTTAGAAACAAACACAAATGCAACTTCTCCAAATGTTATTTTAATTTTCCAGTGGCTCGTTTTTTCAATCACCTAATTAAGGTTAGATAAATAATTGCTGATAATCCTTTTTTCTTTCTATATATAGGCATTTAATCTAAGAACATCAAAGTCCTCTTAACACATTAATTAAGTTTTTCTACATGAAACTGTAAGGTACTCACAGTACTATGTAACTAGATTTGGGAAAAGAAAATGAGTGTTTGCAATTTATCTAATGCTATACAGGAACTCCACTACCAGGGAGAGGGGGAAAAAGAATCTCAGATGCTTCAATACCCCTTAATGAGGAAAAAGCATTCCTACCTAACTGGTGTTCAACCTAGCTCTCTATGGTAACTCCTACAAATATTATTTTCCAACGCTGGTAGATATTACAACCACCTTTCCAAACATTTTCTAAAAACAGAGAAGAGAATAAATGATTAGTGCTGGAGACAGTGAAACAGACATCTTGCTAACCGAAGTGAAATTTTCTGCATTCTGGCTCCAATCTCTTACCATGCGAGACCTCTGGTCCCTACTGCATTGTTTTCATATGTCTCCTAAAAATGTAGCAGCCATCTCAGTATGCTACCCCATTAATCCCTCAAATAATTATTTAACGGGATTTTGCCATGTTGACTTCTTTATCTCCTCTACTCCCTCTCAGATATTTGTAAATATGGGATGATTTTGCGATAAAAAATGACTTAGTGTTTCAAAATGGCATGAAAAAAATTATGATCCAGAATTTTCACAAAGGTTTGAAAATAACTTCTGCTACTAAATATTTCATCTGTAGACTCGTTTCCACTCCTGTCACATGGCTGGAGGGGCTAGGGTCTAAGCCCTTCTTCTGTCACTTTTTTCTAGGGTCTAAGCTGAGGCAATCACCTCTTGTTCTCCAAAAAAATACTATCACAAACCTTACCAAAATGTTTAGTTTTTTGGGTTATTTTGATATCAGCCCTTGAGATGTCATAGTTATCTAAAAAAAAAAAAAAAAAAGTGGGGGGGGAATGTCTTTTCTATTTTTCTATAATGCCAACTTAGTATTTCTCAGCAAGTCCCATCTTTTTGTCTTGATTAGAGATACTTACTTCTGCTTCTTATTAATGCTTCTCTTTCTAGAGGCTCTATGAGTCTCATCTCTATTTGAAAAACATCCCTGGATTCTTGCCAGTTAATACCTATCAATATATATGTCTATATATTCTAGTTATTAGTATAATGGCTCATTGCTTCAACTAAATTTTAAATTTCTTGAGTAAAGGGATCTTGAAATATTCATCTTCATGTTCCGAAAAGCATTTTAGCATAGTGCCTTCATATAGGAACTATTCAAAGTATATTCATTAAATGAAAAAAAGATATTAAAACAAAATACAATGGAAACTGAATAAAAGTGGTACCAAAACTTTTGTTTTTGTTTTTTCTTTTTTTGAATTTTTAAAATTTTTGTTTTTAAATGGAAGCTAACTGATAATAATGGAGAACTTCAGTATTACTATTTTTCCATTGTAGGATTGATCAACCTCAAGTCTCTTAAACATATGCAAAGTAGGCATTCAAAGGGGTGGAGGAGACCCCTAGCCATGGTCAGACAGAGAATTCTCTGACAGAGCTGCAGT